GGCCATGATCAACACTACAAATGCTACGACAATCTAACCCTCAAATAATGCAAGCCATGTTTTGATTGGAGCAACTCGTTCCATGAACTACTGTACTAGTATTGCCGCAGAGCTGAGCACTCAGGAAATCACTGCAATAAATAAATTTGTCATATTCTCATGCACAATCAAATACTATACGTATAGTAGCAAACCATGACTCTGCGGGTCGATACTTCACCATTCGCAACGTGCAACAATGCTCATCAATGAGAAATGACGCCGTTGATTCAACACATCGAAATGACAAATTAATAAGGTATCGAACGTTACAAGGACAATACATTGTGCCAAGTCTTTCGTGTCGTAGCGTTGCGCGTCAATAAATGCGATCTATCCAAGTGCTGCAATTCGCATTTTCATGGCTGTTAAACTAAATGTTATCACAACTTACCATTGGGGATGCCCTTAAGGGGCTGGTCGCGGAATGGTCACGGGATATTTCTGTATATTTATGTCCATATAAGAGGCTGTTCGCGGAAATAGCTAACGTTATGTTGAGGCCCACGGCTTGTTTTTCTTGTTTTACGTTAGCTACAGTAGTAACATGATGGAGTGATATTACACTTACTGAGCTGCTCGACTACGAAGCAACAACCCAGTACAGTAATGTCCACTGAGTAAAACTCCACCACACCATTTAACCACGAGTGAAGCCCCATGTCTAACTCTACCTGAACATCCATGAGCAAAACCCCAAAACACCACAAGTGAAAAACTGCCTCCCCTACAGTGCGTAGCATTCACCGTTGGTACGATTAACGGTGTACAACGTTGTATGCCTTCGTGTTTCACGTTAACGATAGGACTTATCGTAGCAAGCAATTAGTCCCACCCACTTACTCAGGGACGTTTTAGGTCAATAGTACCAAATTCCCTGAGTGAGTGGGTTTTGACCAATTGAGTGGGTGTGTCACCGACTCACTCGGGGAATTGGTCCATACCACATCGACTCTGTGTTTCCTCTAAATCGACCACCAACCGCCACCAAGTTTTCACACTGCTTTGTTCGCTAGAAGGGTACTTGGTAGCATGGTGATGATATGCGCAGCGCTTGTGACCACCGGCACTGCGCATCTCTCCACCACACCATCAAATACACTTCTAACCTGTGTGAAAACGGATTACGATGTGTGGCAGCGATAGTTAAGACTTACGGGACAGCATTGAATATTAATACCAACCTTGGATACTGTGGTTAATACAATATAATTGTTGAATTAAAAGCGTGGATGACATGTGGATGACATTTGGATGACATTGGATGAAGTTGTGGGATGAATCCTAAAGTAACATGACGGATCCTAGATCAGCCGACGACCTATGATTAGCCGAGCCGAATTACCCAATACAAATTCAGAATTGATATGATTGGATAAAATGAAAGCCTGCAACAACTTACACCTTCAAAAGCTTATGGTGGGAAACAGTACAAATTTTGAGGGGGGCTCGCCGGTTTTCAAATCAAAATGCTGCCAAGAACATCGTACACACCAGAGGACTTGGCTAACGCCATAGCCGACGTGTCTCCAAGGACCACACAATTCCTGCTGCGGCCACATTGTATTCCGTGCCACAGCGAACGCTTCGCACACACGTGTCAAATGCTATTAGCGCTAACACAACTCCCAAGACTATGGGACGGCAGCCAATGCTACCACCGCTGTACAAAGCCGACCTCGTCACGTTGATTCTAGCCATGGAGCGCGACTGCCATCCTGTGAACCGCAGCCAAATCCAAGACAAGGCAGCCGAAATCCTCAACGTCATCCACGGCTTCACACGTCCCGCTAAGCCGACATCCGGGTGGTACCAGAAGTTCCTTGCACGGAACGAAGCTCTGAAGACAAAGAAGTCCAATTTGCTGAGCAAACCGCGTCACGCCGTGGACAAGGACGCTGTCGTTCATTTATTCGACGAGTTGGGCAAGGCCATGTCGCTCGTCAACATGGACCCCAAGCGAGTTTTCAATATGGACGAGACCAGCTTTTCTCCATCCAAGACAGCAACAAAAGTGGTCGTTCACCGGATGTCGAAGCAAGTACACGTCGAAGAAGCGACGGCCTCGGCTCACGTCACCATTGTTGAATGCGTTGGCGCTGATGGATCCAAGATTCCGCCTCTGTTTGTTCTCCCCGGCGATCGCGTGTCAACTGAAGTCTGCGACAACCTTGTGATTCCTGGGGCGGCAGTCACGACATCTGAGAAGGTGTGGACGAACTCTTTCATTTGCCGCAAGTGGCTTTCAATGCTCAGCTCAGCCATCCCCACGTCAACGGCGAGACCTATTCTCCTCATTGTGGACGGTTGTTCGTCCCACTACTCCAACTACATCTACGACGAAGCCCAGCGACTGGAAATATTGCTTCTGTTCTTGCCAGCCAACTCGACGCACATGTTCCAGCCGTTGGACGTCACTGTTTTCCGGCCCTTCAAGCAAGCCATCCGACAGGAGATTGCAAATGACAAGTGGAACGACGTTGCTTCCAGCATCAGTAAGCAAGAAGCAATTGCCATAGCGTGTCGTGTTTGGACGTTGACAACCAAGGAGTCATCCATTACCAATGGGTTTGATTGCACTGGCCTGTGCCCACCGTCGCTGGACAAGATGCTCTATCGATTGTCAATTTTCAAGCCCCCTCAAGACGTCTGCATTGCTATTGACGACACGTGGCTCAAACGGTGCGCAATTGTGAGGAGTGAATTGCTCGTGTTGCCCCCTCAGAAGAAAAAGCGTGTTGCGAGGAAGACCTTGACTGTCAGTGGTAAGTTTATTACGGCAGATTACCATGCTATCCTCCAAAGCCAAGCAGCCGCTCGTCCAAAAGCCCGCAAGAAATCTCAGTCAGCTACGTCGACCCCTGCCGACCAAGATTATGACGTAGTAGTATCAGAAGAGGAGATGGAGTTGGTGAAATTATAAGATGTACAAGTTTGCATCTCGAATTGTAAATGTATTTACATTGTTAACAGTAAAACCATGACATAAATTTGTTTACATGCAATTATTAGCTTGGAAAAATATTCAATTTGAGAAAAAATATTGGCGCACCCCGGGACTCGAACCCGGGGCCCATCCACCACCGCCTCATCGTCTAACCGATTAGCTATGCGCCAATGGCTTGGCATACTTCGTTGAGCATCCAATAAATGAAGTACTGCCTGTAAAATATTATTACTGTATACATGTAATATATCTCTGTAAATTTATAATTTCACTTCTCAAAAGCCGAAAAAATGACATACTTTAAACAAGTGTAAAATTCGGCTGAACATCGATCGCCTGTTTAACATGTAAGTTCGAAACTTTGACATTTTTATTGCACAAATTTAAACTCATAAATTAAGTCCTTTTTCGGATGATGGGATAAAGCTTGTAAAGAGCGATTCGACGCAGCAATTTTTACGTTGTGGCCATTTGAAGTTCACGAGATATGGTCGGATGAATGCAGCTCAATTTCGGCTGATCAACGATCCGTCACGTTAGTGACCAAGCCTTACGTTAGCCCCGAGCGCGTCTGCGCAAGCGCGGCCGTACGAGAGCGCGGATCTAAGCTTCTCACTTCACCGAATGATCTAACTTTTCTTCTTGTCGGGCAGCGGCAGGTAGGCCGTCGGCCGTGCCGCTCCCGGACGAGGCCTGTATGCAATGACCTAGCATTATCCTAATCTACTCTCATCTATACTAATTAGGATATGACCTAATATTAATGGTGGATGAGGTTGGGATGACGTTTGGATATTTTGTGGTGACCTCGGTAAGTGCGGACGATGTTTTCGTCCGCACGGATTGGACTCTCCCAGTTGTGGGAGACGAGGACTACCCGATGGACCGGATAGTGTCCGGAATGCGTGCGTTGGCTTGTAGCGTGGAAGAGTATGCGTGCATGGAGGAGTGTCGAGCTCCACGCAGCGAGTTGCTGCGGCAATACCTCGATGGCGTCGAGGTGGCTGTCAATGTCCTCATTGATATGCGGCCATGGCGTACGTCTGCGATGGAATTTGCTGAGTTTTGCGGCGAGAGCAAGTACGGTGGCGATATCATCGCCAATGTGAAGGTCGCTCCAATACGTTCGGCTTTGGTGGGCACGCCTTGTGCCAATGCCGAACGCATTCCACTACCAGCAGAAGCTGGTTGAACACATAAGTGTCGTGCCGAGTTGCCTCGGCTTGGACGGGATTTCGTCCACCTGATCTCCGAGTACTGTCGAAGTCGTGACAGAGAGCACGGAGAGGTGAGTTGGCTGGTATATCCAGCTGAGATGTCCATTGTGTAGGACCATGGGATGCCGCGATCAGATACTCGCGGCCATCAGGGGCCCAACGAGAGCACATTACCACGAACTCGTGGTGTGGGAGATGGAAACGCGGACGTCGCCCATGACGTGTCGAGGCGTTTGGTTGCTCTTGAGGCGCGCTCGGCGCAGCATGACGCCGTGGCCGCTCGCTTGACTGCGGTTGAGCGGAAGATGAAGGGACATGGTGTGACGCGACTGGAACACGATACCGTGCTTGAACGATTGGCAACTGTCGAGCGCCTGATGCAGATGACCCCTCCGACATTGGGGTCGGAGGCAGAGGACCTGCATCGCTTGTCGCCGGCTGATGCGACGCTGAAACGGCTCCTGAAGCCACAACATTTGGAGGTGTGGCGTGTGCGGGCGGAGGTGGTTGCTGGCGCAACAAAGTCTGCTGTTGGAGACTTTCATGGTCGGGTTGTGAAGGTGGAACTTGCTCTGCAACAGTTGCAGGAGGATCAGCGGGATATGCTGAAGAGCGTTTGTGAAGAGTCTCAGCGTCTTTGTGACGTGACTCGTCGCTTCGTGGAGCTGGAGGTGTGCGTGGAGCATCGGCGTAAGTGGCGCTTGATTTTGCCGACGTAGAACGTCGGGTGTATTCGCCAGTCATCAGGCAGGTCGAGTTTCATTGACGTTGGCCTGATGACTTCTTTGATAGGGACAATCCAGGGGACCTGGTGCTTTGGAGCTTTGGGTTGCACAGAACCGTCGGAGGCGCCGCCGACTTGTGGAGATAGACGAAGTCTCCAACACAGAACGTATTGGTGTTCTTGCCACCGTGCTTGTTGGCCTGATGGGCTTGCTGATGTTGCGCATGGGCGATATTGTCGCCAAGTTGGCGCATAATAGAGCTGCGGAGTCGCAGAAATTCTTGGATTAACGCTGTCGTGCGTAGGCCAGGGAAGATTCCTCCCACGCTCAAAGTAGACACACCGGTGTCAGTGGGAAGACGGGGCTGACGCAGATGGTTTGCGTAAAAAACGGGGAAAACCCCGTGGAGGCGTGGACCGAGGAATGGTAAGCAAATTCCACTTGGTGGAGTAGGGAACTCCATGTGCGAGGTTTCGACGCAGCATAACTGCGGAGCACATCTTCGACAACCCGGTTAGCGCGTTCGGTCTGGCCGTCAGTCTCGGGGTGGTCGGCCGAGGACATGTTGAGGCGAGTGACAATGCGGGCAAACAAAAACTTCCAGAAAGCGGAAGTGAAACGTGGGTCTCGATTGGAGACGATGGAAGTAGGGAGGCCAAAGCGACAATAAATATTGTCAAAGAAGAGCCCGGCACAGCGCTCAACTGTGATGCTCGCCCTGACGGCGACTGCCACAAGGTACTTCGATCCCCGGTCGACGCATACCCAAATGCCAGTGTTGCCGCGTTGGTCGCGGGGAAGGTTTGGTATTTGAGACTCTGCGACACACCGGTCTATAAGCGATCCTGTCGAAATGCCTTTTCGGGGTACCCGAAATTCCTGTCCTAGGCGACTTCGTTGGCATCAACGGCTGCTGGGCGGACCCGGCCAAGGTGACCGTAATCAAAGCTTGGCCATCTTTCTTCGTGGTCTGCGACGCATCCATTCGCGCCATCGGTTGCTGCCTGATGCAGCGCGACGATTCGGGCCAGGATCGCCCGGTATCGTTCCAATCCCGCCAGCTCCACAAGTCCGAGAAGAGCTATGCCGTTCATGACTTGGAGCTTCTGGCGATGTACTACGCCCTCAAGAAGTTTCGTATCTACATCTGGGTTCGGAGGAATTCGTGGTCTTCACTGACCACGCATCGCTATGCACGGCCGTCCACTCACCACATCGGTACAACATTGTCGCGGATGCTTTGTCCCGACTCCCGTCGGTAGACAACATGGAGCTCACCTCCTACATCTCCACGGTGCACTCGAACCTCTTGGCTCGCATCCGAGCAGCTTACAGAACGGACCCCGCTTTGGATCCGATCATCACCCACCTCCGTGATGATGTAGCGATATCTTCTCGCATCCCCCAACTCGACCGCTATTCGGTCCCCCACGGTAGGTTGCTGTATTCCACCAATACGACCGATTGCTTTCGGATCGCAGTACCCTGCGACCATTCTCTACGGCAGGACATCCTGCACGAGCTCCACGATGCCCTAAGCGGGGGCCACTTCGGCTGCGATCGAACGTACACTACCGTCGCTCGCCTCTTTTGGTGGCCGCGTTTGTATAAACACGTTGCTCGCTACGTCGCTTCCTGCGACGTCTGTCAATCAATCAAGGCCGTCGCGTCCACTCAGGCTCCACTCCAGAGCTTGGAAGTTCCCAGCGAACTCTGAGAGTTCGTCAGTATGGACTTCATCTATGGACATCTGCGTCAGATTGCGACGAACTGGCGCGGCTGTGGATGTAGACGTCGTCGAAATACGACGGAGCAAATTCGCGAAATGGACGGAGTTTCTTCGTGACGACGCGATTAAAAGTAGCAGGGGCGTTCTTGAGCCCCTGGGGCATCACCAGCCATTCCCAGAGCATTCCACTGGGTGTAGAGACGGCTGTCTTCTCGATGTCCCTGATGTTCATCAGGATCTGGTAGAACCCATCGCGAAGGTGGATGGTACAGAAGATCGTGGACTGTCCCATGGAGTCAATGGTGACATCCTTCCGCGGGATCGGCGTCTGCGCCGGGATCGTGGCCGAGTTCAGCTTGTTGTAGGCGTGAACAATGCGCCATTTCCCGTTGCCTTTCTTCACACAGAACGTGGGACTGGAGTGCGGAGACTTGCTCTCCCGCACATGACCGGCTCGCTTGCGTGCAGCAAAGAACTCGTCAATGTACGCGACTTGGTCGCGTGGAAGTGGCCACTGTCGAGTGACGCACCACTTGGTGCCCGGCACCAAGTCAATATCATGCCGTACCCCTTTGTCTTTGGGGAGGCATTCCGGAACACTGTCCGGGAAGATATCTTGGAACTCACGAACCAAGTCGTAGTATGGGTTCGATTCAAAATCCTTCCATACCGATGAGGATGGACGAGACACATCCTCCTCGACGGGATCGTCGGTTGTCGAGGAAATCAGGAGGTCCATCTCCTGGCTCTCCGTGATGAGAGCAATGCTGATGTTTTCGTGCCCTCGTAGCGCGCGGACGAAAGAGAGATAGCTCATCTCTGGCAGCTGAGTGATCTCAGCGGCAGTCAGCGGCAACTCGGACAGGTCGTAGGCTGAGAGGACAAAAGCGTGTGTATCACGCGTCGAATGTCCACTGGGGGTGGAATTCGGACCATCGCCGTTCATGGCGGCTCCCATATAATCGCCACACGTGGCGGCATCGCCAAACGTGGCGGAAAGTACGTCCAGCCTCGTAGCCGAGGCGGTGGGACGCGTGGCCAACGGCGTCTCCAGACCAGACAAAGGAGTGAGTTCATTACTCATCACGCCTATGTCGGTAGAACGGTGGACGGATGCGATCTTACGCATGGTCTTGGATCGCCAATCGATCCAGGGTTGGTGTTTCTCCAACCATCGCATGCCAAGGATCAAATCCCAGCGGTCATCGAGGTCGATGACGTAGAATTTTTCGGCGAGACAAAATCTCCCACCGACGTGGGAAGGTCGACGAGGACCTTCGGCGAGGTGACAACCTTACCATCAGCCATCTTTACACGCACGACAGAGTGCGGCGATGCGCGCCGGGTGGTGCCATCGTAGATGAAACGATTCAGCTGAATCGATGCGCGTCGGGCATAATTTTCCGACGCACTGCTATCGATGAGGACGCGGAACAAACGATCGTACCCCGAGATACGACTGGGGAAGGACAACATGCGGGAAGGTTGTCTGACGGCAAGCCCTCTGTAGCCTCAGTAGGACGCCTCGCGCCTACTGAGGGGTCCCGTTTCCCCGCCCGCGAGGAAACTCGCAACCGCCGCGTGCGCGATCGACAACGGGATGCGCGAAGCGGTGTGCAGGGGATGAGGCAGTACCACGAGCGGATGTCGGTGCACGGCGTGGTTGGCGACACTCGCGGGAGATGTGTCCCGGTCGGTTGCAGTTGAAGCAACGACGGTCGGTGGTGGGTGAGGTCATAGCCGAGACCTCCATGTCATGTGGGTCGCGGGTCTTGGTCGTGGTGCGCGATTGGAGAACCGAAAACTCTTCGGCCAGCGCGGTGCGGACGGCATCTTCGAATGTCGAAGGATATATCCGAAAAAGCTGCGTGCCCGCAGCAGAGTCGTTGAGGCCGTTAATAAAAATAGTCACCTTAGTCTCTTCGGAGAGCGAAGACATCTGGGTGACACAGGACGCAAGAAAGCGCAGATCGTGGACGTACTCACAAATAGAGCGCTTGCCTTCCCTGGCAGATAGGTACTCCGCGCGGTACCGGAAGTCGCTGTTCGCTGGCAGGAACGCTGCCTTCAAATGTTCAATGAAATCATCGAAATTGGAAAAAGCGAAGCCATCTTCGCAAGTTAGGCCCCAGGCCCAATCATCCACACGACCAGTAAGTGCGACATGGCGAAAGACACGCAAATCTCATCGTCATCGATGTTCAAAGCATCCGCGGCACGACCAACTTGCTTGATCGAACGAAGCAGTTGGTGGGAGGGAAGTCCTCCATACTTGGGGACTTCGAGCTTTACGGCGCGTTGCTTCGGCTTCGAAGCTGTCTGCGCGGACATACGCGTAGTCGTGTGATGGAGGGTATCCTCCAGAGCACGTCCTCGAGCGTTGAGGTCGGCAAGTTCTTGTAGCGCGGCATCGCGCTCGGAAGCAAGCGATTGTGCTTGTGCCGCAATGTCTTGCCGAGCATTCTCGCCATGGCGAGCAAAGCTGTCAACCAGGTGGAGCTGCGCTAGAGGCGCCAGTACGAAGATCAGGCTCCAGGCTTCTTGTTTCCCGAGAGCGGAACACATGTGTCGGATAGTGACAAGGTGGGTCTCGGAGAATTGGGCAGAGGACATTGCGCGGCGGGGGGGAAGGTCGATGGACGAATTGGAGTGCTACCAGGTGTAATGGGGTGCACAGAGGAAGGTGAGTAGAACAAGGTATATTGTTAACTGGGAGAACTAGCTATCTCTAAGCTGGTTTCCTTGGCGCGCAGCTGCGCGCCAGTGATGCAATTCATGTCAAATGAATGGTGCTGCTGCGGATGTAGCAGAGCCAGTGATTCAAGACACTTGGATTACCAAGTGTCCTCTCGGTCAGGATTGGAACTGACCAATGGGATGTCGTGTCCGGATGTTGTCCGGACCCCGTTACATGTACTGTATCAGACAGAACATTCACCGAGACATACAGTAGTGAGCGACGACAGAGCATCCATCCGCCCACAAATGTATGCGTCTGATACTTGACAAGTCATGTAGAATCAAAAGTAAATTGAGGGTTGCCGTGGCTCGATAAGGAAGCAAAAATAGATACAATGAATTGTTAAACAGTCTGTTATTGTGAATTCGGATGACATTTCTCGCATGTGATCATCTGATTTCGGGCCGGGATGATTCGCTCCACGTAGCCAAAGCCTGACCCACAGCCCCCTGGTATTCTTTACTTTACCGCTTAGAACAGCTGAGATTTGTCTAGATGACATTCCCTTGCGCGTAATCAGCCGAAAAACGCGTCGGATCTCGCGTTTCGTAGTCTGATGCGTCTTTCAGGTGTTTTGGCCGTCGTTGGCTGTCGGATTTGAGCAACGTATGTCCGCACGAGTTTTTCGCTTCGTCCGATGGTGTTTGCTATCCATCGGAACGCCTTCTTCAGCGCCGAAAATGCCTCAATTTGGCCTTGTTCTTCGTTGGTGATGTATTTGGCGCGTGGCATGCTCAAATGGTGGTGTGAGTACATTGAAGACATTAAGAGTGATTTTACTATAAATAATTCTTTGTGGAAAAATCACGAGGAACAAATAGGTGCCATCCACAGGCAAATTTGTTCGAGAAAAATCACTGTCATAAAACCTCACAGAGAACTCAAATTTCGTTGTGGCATTCTTGCAGTACAGTATGGACGACAATGATGTGGTAGAGGACAAAGAGTCCGAGTCCGTGCTGAGGTGTAAGACAGCATTCCGCTTTATGGGGTTCACCGACGTCGAGCTTTCTAAGGAAGTCATTCATGTTCGGCCATTTGAAGCGCCCCATGGCGAGGTCAAGAAGCGCTGGACAGAGGTCACATAGCATGTCCAACGCATTTATGGCCAAGCCATAACGGTCAACGGAGCACGAAAACGCTCAGACGACTTAATGTCTGCTTTTCAAGTACAAACCTTTGCTGCCCTTCGTGCGTCCGGAACAGACAAGGAGTACGATGAGCGCGAGCAGCTGCTCGGCGCTTGCGTTGTAGCGCTGGGGCGTGATTATCGGGTCGGGAATCTCCAGCAGCACTTTCAATTGCTGAATCTCGTTTATCTTAAAGCAAAAGTGGAAGGCGCACGTTGAATAGCTTTGTGCCATGAGGTTGAACCGGCCGCGAGATATGTGTATCGCTCGTGTATGCTCTTGGGACTCTTCCAGTAGTGCCATGGCCGACATGAGTACGATCGAGTCGTCCATGCCAGCCATGCACTTTTCACAACAAATTTTAATGTAGCAAAATCATTTCACACAGGATTTTCGTTTCTGGACCCTTCTCCAGTATTCCAGAATTTTCACAGGTAATTTCAAGTTAGCAAAATCTCTCTAATCGAGACGTTTTGCAAGTCATAAATTTGAAAATAACGCACTAAAACTTCGGATCGAATTTCGAATATTGATCTATGAGTCGGAAATCTGGTCCGGGATATCGCTGAAAGTGTTGACTTTGGGGGCCGAAGTCTGCACTGCTCCAACCAACTTCTTCAGCGAGTCATATTGCTTAGTTTCAACTGCTCCACTAGGTATTGCACTTTTGACATGGGTAAACCTAACCAAGCTCAGTTAAAGTGGACGGACGATTTGGACCTGGCGTTGCTACGCGAGGTTGTTCGTGTGGAGCCTTACGACGGCGAGCACGGTACGTTGATTCAGTGATGGAAGGAGGTAGCTGCCAGTCTCTCGTTGTACTCGAACCAAGGCATCCCCCGCCGCTCTGCCCGCGACCACTACGACGGACTGGTACAAGGGTTCAAGGCAACGGACAAATCCCAGCGACAGTGGGGTACGGGCAGCGACGAAGACGTGCCGGAGAAAGTTCAACTTCTTCAAGATCTGGTGGACCAACGTGACGCGACCGACACTCTCAAGACCGCTGTGAAGTCCAAGGACAAGAAGGGCAAGGAGTCATTGGAATCTACGGGGTCGTAACTGTGTGTCGAGGCGGAGCAGCGTGTATCAAAACGGCAACGCCCTATGTCGGCGAAACGTGAGCAATCTGACGCTATGGTTGATGAACTACTCGAATTCGAGAAGAAGAAACAAATGGATCATCATAGGTTTAGAATGGAGCGTCTAGAATTTGACCGTGAAGAGCAACAGTTACGAAAGGCTCAAATGGCCGAGAATGCACAACGCGGCGCACTGTTGGAAAAATTATTCGTTGACATGGGATGTAAGTCAAATCAATTGTGAATAAAAAGGAATAAAAACCACTTTATTGATTGAAATTAAGGTACTCTTCAAGTGTTGGTGGTGACATACAATGAAAGTACACACTGTTTGTATTTTTTCCTCGCACACAAGTAATGCAATTTGTTAACAGAACTGCGACTTTGAACATTTTGGTGGCTGGGCTACCTCCAACTCGCATCTTTTTTTTGAAATCGACAATTGGCCAGTACTGTAAAATTTGTCCATAGCTCCACTTGACACATCGCTGTGCCTGATTTAACGTGGCACCGCCAAACGGAGACGCAAGTTGATTGGAGTAGCCGTACGCAGGGTCCCATAAGTGATGTAGCCCTCAAAACCACCATTAGCTTGGGTGGCTTCCCCCAGGTTCGATTGCCGCAAAATGGTAAGGTCATGGCGGCGTCCTTCGATTGGGCCAAACGCGTGTGAAATGATGCCATCGGGGGTGACCAACGTTTGGAACTTGATTGCGTGACGTCTCTTGTGACCGTTAATCACGGATCGCTGCCTTTCGTCTCCGGCAGGGCGACAACACTCACGAACTGTCCCATCAATGAACGCCCCACACATTGTGCACCTCGCCACCCTTGTCGACAATCGCTTGGCTAAAGGATGCCAACTTGGTGCGAATCCGGTTGTAGTCGAGATATATCGTGTCACGGAACTTGTTGAAGGTGAGGTCGAGGGTGTTGAGGTAGATGTTACATAGGCAACTGCAAGAGCGGCCAAACATCGCCATTCAAGTCGGACCACCGGTCGGGAACAGCAAAACGGCACGATGCAAAGAACCTCGATACCAGTGCAGGCTGTGCACTCAGCCGTCACCACACGTTCTGAAATGTCCAAACATCGTCTGAGTCGTTTGAGGTCTTCCTTCACAAACCGGAACTTCTCCTTGTAGTCGGCGTCGGAGTACTGGTCCAATGAGAAAGTCACATCTGGACCGCTCGATAGCGGCTTGGCGTCGAATCAGCAACAGACGCAGACGCAAGCTGGCCGTGGAGTGCCGTAGAAATCTATTCCGTGGGGATTGCATTGTCGAATGCCACACTAGCCAGGTGTTTTGCAAAGTCCGTGAGCTGACTTTGCAACACACGTGGCTTTGAGACTTCTGACTTTCAGTCCTTTAAATATCGAACGAAGTTGAAAGCTGGAAATATTGTTAAATTTTTGACTTACAAAATATCTCGAATAGAGAGTTTTTGCTAACTTGAAATTATTAATAACGTATGGCACCAGTCATCGGCAAAGACGCCAGTCATCGGCACTGTCGTAAGCCAATAGAAATGCCCGAGTACCTCTTATTGGTCAACATGTAGTTCTTCAAGAATTAGTGCCCCTTATAGATTAGAGGTTGGACCAGTCAATATTGTGTTGATCATACAGAAATCGTTACTGTAGCAATACATACCCATTCTAAACACATATTCCTTTGATAGCTAATATGATGCCAGCATCCCGCGAACTAGAATATGGAGGATTCAATACATTACACAAGTCTAAAACGTGTGCCGATGACTGGTGCCCTACGAAAAACGCTACTTTTGAAAATACTTACTGCACGTGTTTACTATTTAAATTGATATCCTTTGAACCTCAATTCATGAGCTGAATCTTGCGGTTATTTTGATATTTGTATCACCTCAATATGTGTTGTAGTCAACGAGAAATCGACGAACAAAGTAAGCAAAGAGCGATGCTGATGACTGGTGCCCCACGTTACCTGTAACGCACGCAATACTCGTAAGCACATGGATTACATTAAAGTACGTTGATTGGATTATAAATTTTATAAATGTCATTTATTGGTCGAATCAAAATAGTGCGACTATAGTTTTGTTACTCCCAAAATTCCGAAAATTTGATTTTTTCGGGATCCACAAATGCAGCGAGCAAAATCCTTCGGTAGGGTGCCTGGAAGCACCGTTTACATAAAGGTCTTTGCCTTGAAAACTTCAAATTTATGTACAGTAATTGTACTGTAATACATGTAGAATCAACAGGCTCACAGCTGATATCTCATCAAGGACCTGACCCATTTGATAGAGACTACAGTGGGGAAGATAACCCCGAAACCCCGAAAACACCAGTGGACGACTGTATCTAAGTCAATTTTAGTCCGTTTTAGATGAAGGTGGCAAATAATAAAACTAGAAATCTTTTCTGAAAGTGTTGTCTTTAACCATGACTTGATCCGAGTATATCTTCCAAACGTAAATGGCCATTCATTTAGTGCAAGTTGAAAGTTTTCGAGACGATGGTTAGGGTAAAATTATAATTATTTGATTCGCCAACAAAGAATAGAAAATCTTTTCATTGGTTACAAATTGACTGCCAAACGTGATACTTCGAAGAATATTGATTTATACAATTAAACAGATGAGTTTAATCATATTCTTCACCAGATTCTTCCCCAAGCAAAAACGCAACTCGGCAATGACACGTCCTATGGTTACCTGGCCGAACCCAAGACATTCCTAGACGCTGGTCCTGACATTTCGTCGTGTTCCGCTGGGTTTCTTTCCTTGCATTGCATGAAGTACTGGTGGCATGTGGCCACATGAGCTATTCCGCAGGAGTGCGCGTGTGTTTTTTCTCCATAACTTTTTCTAATGAAGGCCAATTCCAAATGCGAGAGATGCTAAATTAAGCTCACATGATTGTGTGTTTACCAGTCGTTTCACCTTTCGTATTTATGGATTTTTTCATATTTATATTACAGTTTGTATCGGTCGTGTATCATCCCCATTGTCCCCTACAATAAGTTACTTAGTACTTCCGGTACTACAGGCCAGGAATGAATACAGTATACGAACCCTCGTTCGATTCCGAAAAGCAAACGATTTACCTTATCCACAAAAAACTCTAGTAACTTAACTGTAGTGTTGAGTCTTTGAAAGGCCTTGATCCGTACAGTACTGTACTACAATGAGCGCATGGAACACTCTTCACGACGAACCGCTCCGTGTCATCGTGAAGAGTGCTTATGACGGTTCTACAGTGTACATACGGTGATCGATTGGCTTTGTTTCGAACGCTTACGATTTCAAGTACTTTCATTCGATACAAAACCTTACGATCAGTACATGTGTTTCTACACATGTACTGATCGTAAGAAGGGTTCTAACAGTAGTACAGTAGGTTGGAGTGTCAATTTGGATGTTTTTTTATTAATTCTGAATTCCTTGTATAACTGCGAGGGGCAAAGTAGGCACACACACACCATTTTGCGCCTTCCAAACGCTCTTTTAAATTCTCGTGCGCATTTGTTAAGTCTAACGTTAGGTGAATGTTCTGCCTGATACACATGTGTCTCTCTCCCCGGTTCGAGTGATTCCCTAATCCTTGCACGAACATTTGATTCTACATGCAACCAATCCCACCTTCGACAATGATACAGTAGACTCCAGCTTCGTATGTCATCACCGCATGTACTCCATCTGTCCCCTACCCAACTCAGGCATCATGGATTGCTTCGTCCCCCC